GCCGGTACCAGATGGGAGATAGGTTTAGAGTCATTTTGGGTGGAAATGCTGGGAATCTGCAGTTTCAGGAGCAAAAAGTTAAAACAAAAAAAAGCCATTGGAGGGCCTCCCTGGTGGCGCAGTGGTTGAGAGTCCGCCTGCCGATGCAGGGGATGCGGGTTCGTGCCCCGGTCCAGGAGGATCGGCTGGGCCCGTGAGCCATGGGCGCTGAGCTTGTGCGTCCGGCAACGGGAGAGGCCACGACAGTGAGAGGCCCACATATCGCAAAAAAATAAAAAATAAAAAAAAAAAAAAAAAAAAAAAAGCCATTGGAAAAGACAACTGTGGCTGCTCCATGGGGGCAAGCTGCAGCAATTTGCAGGGACATTTTAACAGGGACATGTCTCCTTAGGGGCAACTGAAGAGTTAAAGGAAAATATATCAGTGAGCACAGAGACTATCTGTGATAACTGTGGTTATCACAGTAACCATAATTCCACCTTACTGTAGAAGGTACACAGAGAAAAGCAAAATCCTGGGCAATCAAAACCTAGAATTGAGAAAATTAAGTGTTGTGTTTAATAGAGAAATGACTACTTAACATAACAATTTGGAAATAGAATAATTTCCATCTCATTAATGTATACTCTTTATCAACTCTCATGCATATCAAAGCAAGTGCCAAGGAGAAATAAACTATAGGAAATAATTTATTTTCTTGTAAACATTTGATTTAAACATCCTTCTGATAGCCTGAGAGATTCTTGGTTAACAATTCCAGTATTTTCATCACCCCTGTGGCATGCAGCACCCCAGAACTGTATACATCAGCTTTGTGCGTGTCGGTGATTGTCACATGCAGGCAGTTTTCGTAACCAGTTTAAGACCTCTCAGTCTTCAGGTTTGTGCTTTCATACCATGGTTCACTTTATTCTTAAGTGTAAATAGTAGTAAAAGGTACTGATTAGGAAATGCCATCTCTGGATTTATAACTCAGTTTTTCACAGGGTTATATTCACTAATTGTTTCAACTTAAGCAAGTTAGTCTCTCTTAAGCCTAAGTTTCCTTTTCTGTAAAACAGGAATAAAATACCTTCCTCAGAATATTATTATAAGGACTCAGTGAACACAAAACTTAGCACAGAGCCTGGCAAATCATTCTCAGTTTTCATCAGGTCATCGTTATTTGTTGCGAATCATTTTTACATATCGACGTAATAGTAGTGTACACTCTTCACCACTACGCTTTGGTGTCCGATTATTTCTTTCTTTATACCTCACCTGTCCTTCCCCGTCCCCCACCACTACCACCACGCACCCCATACTTTTCCAGTTTCCTGTTTCAGGTTACAGGTGCAGAGTCCTCTCTTCGGATCTATTGCCTGTGACTTATAATCTGTAGGGATCAGGAAGTATCTTGAGCCAGTATATGTAAAGGCAATAGAAATAACCACGTGTTTGACTTGTAAGCCAAGATTTTCTTACAGAGCCCTTCTTCTGAAGAACTTAAATAAACAATACAAAACAAAACAAAAAGACCTTACCCCACTATCACTTAGAAATGTAACCAAATACAGCCCCCTCAAAATGATTACAGTATGAAGGATTGAGAGGTAAAATCAGATGAACATGTGGGAAATCTGTGATCCTCATTGTTATGCTGTCTTGAACACTGACGTCACTTTGTGTTGAGGTTCCTAGCATATGCCTTGGGCAGCGTGTGCCCCATAACTACTTAGACAGGACTTGTCTCTTGATACCTGAAGGTAGGGGTGGGTTCCTGTAATCCGTATTTATTACTTCTGCTCAACTGTCTGATACCTTCATGCATGAGGGAATGAATGGCACTTCCCCAGTGCTAAGGCTCATCAATGGATTTCTCAATGGAGACAGTTCCAGTTGTAATTGCCTCACTGAAAAGGAAACGCTCCATAGAAATAGTCTTTGAAGAGTTGGGCGGAAAGTCACAGCAGGTGCCACAGTGATGCTTTCCTCCTTGTCAAAGCGACTTCATTGGGGGAGGTCTTTCCTGCCTTGCTTTCCTTCTAGTTGACCCTTTTGTATTAGGGTTTTTCATAACACCTCACCACCATAGCTTGTACTGGTGTGAGGACTCCCTCAGTACCCTTCTCAGTGTTCCAGTGTCTTCGGGCAAGAGTGCAGTGGAGCAGAGGAACAGACCTGATGGACACGAGCCCAAGTCTGAATTTCGCATTTCTAGATTTCTCAACGCTGTTTCATACTCTGAGGAAGTGTTGAATAGCTGTGCATAATAACTGTTCCAGATGCTATTTCCTAGATATAATTTAAAGGATTCTTGGTGCTAAGAGTAGGGAGTGGTTTAGAGAGAATCTAAAGTTATTAGCCCTACTGATAGATCATTAATGCCTGTGGACAGCTTGTACTCCCAGCAGTATTGTAAGGGGAAGCTGTGGCAGGGTGGTTGCTGAGAAATTCTGAGAAATTTATTTTTTCCACAACTGGCCAGAATAGTCACCCACTGGTTGTGAGGTTGCAGCATTTTAGAGCTATAGAGAGACCGGCCCCAGGAAGAAAGAACCAGGCAACTGCCAGGCTCTCCTGTTCTCCAGGAATCAAAAGGAACTTCATACACTGCTGAGAGCCCTAGCAAGATGAAGTGTGGCTTGGGACCTTTGGCATGCCCAGAAATGGTTGTAGTGACAAAAACAGGAGAGTAGGAAGAGGAAATTCGGTGAGAAATCTGTGAGCCACAGATCCTTTGCAGCTTTCAAAACCAAAGCCCAGGTGAAAGCCAGAAAAATCCCTATGAAGTGTTCTGGAATAAGTCTACAACTCAAAGTTTATTTGTCAGTAATTGACTCTCTGGAGTACTGCATTAAATATTCTCCTCTTTAAAGTGTTTTTTAATTAACCATCTCTTTAAATGTTGGTTACATCATAACATTACTGTAATAAAAGCTGGTATTTTTATAAGAGTGATCTCACCTGTCCGTATTCAGATAATGGATTTAATGATCTGAGTAGAAAATTATCCAGTGGGCAATAACACGTATTTCCCATATCCTCCTCCCGCCTCTGCTTGATCCCCTCCAATCTCTTCGTCACTGCAGCTGGAGTAAGTTTCCTACCATATAGACTTAATCACGTCACTTCATTGTATGAAGTCTTTTGTTAGCTCCTGTGGACTTCAGAACAAGGTACAACCTCCTTAGTGGGGCACAGAGTCTGTTCACGACTTCATCTCTCTCCACCAGCTCTCCAGACTTATCTCCCATATTCCAGCCTTTTTTTTTTAATTAATTAATTAATTAATGTTTGGCTGTGTTGGGTCTTCGTTGCTGTGCGCGGGTTTTCTCTAGTTGTGGCGAGTGAGGGCTACTCTTGGTTGTTGTGCGCGGGCTTGTCATTGCGGTGGCTTCTCTTGTTGTGGAGCACGGGCTCTAGGCATGCAGGCTTCAGTAGTTATGGCGTGTGGGCTCAGTAGTTGTGGCGCACAGGATTAGTTGCTCCACGGCATGTGGGATCTTCCCAGACCAGGGCTCGAACCTGTGTCCCCTGCATTGGCAGGCGGATTCTTAAGCACTGTACCACCAGGAAAGCCCAGCCATTTTAAATTACTTCCAATTCCCAAGCGTGCCATGCTCCTTCATACTTTTTATTTGCTTGGTATACCCCCCACAGTGTGCTCCCCCAACTTGAAGACTCAACTTGGACATCAGTGCTCTTAGGGAACCCTTCCTGCCCACTGGTTTCCACCAGATGCCCTTATCTGGGCTAATTGTCTGGTGTACGTGGTGCCTCCAGTCCTTCCCTCCCCCAGAGACTGTCTTATTATCTGCTTTCCAGGTTCCTAATACAGAGTAGATGCTCAGTAAGTATTTACTGAATAGATTAATGATTAAGTGTTTGAATGAGTGAACAAATTTGGTGTGTTATGGAAATTACAAGTGACTATAACTAGCCACTTACAGCATAACTCTTTGTTTTCAGTGATAACAGATGTCAGAGGGGCCTTAAAATTTAGTTTTTGGGGGTTTTTTTGGTAGAAATTACCAGTATGTACCCTTCTGAATAGGATTTCACTTTTGCTGCCTTTTTTTTTTTTCAGAAATACAGAAGTAGAACATAGTTTTTCAGTGAAGAACAGCAGCTTAGAGCTAGACATAGAGATAAAGATGTGTGTGTGTATATGCTTATAAATGTATATGTGTATATACACATATATACACATATATACATATTTATATATACATAGGTGGTGTACATATGCTTATGTGCCCATACGTATGGACACATATGTGTGCATATGTACACATTTGTATGTGTATATACATACATGTGTATGCATGAACGTGTGTGTGTGTATGTGTATCAGGGATTGGTACAGATCAATAGTCAATAAGCATCTTAGTGATGCTTCAAAGGAAGCTCTGTCTCCATCCAGCCTGCTTGCTGTCACCTGAAGTATGATTGTAACACCTCCCCACTGAATCAGCACACTCTCCTGCTACCTGGAGCCTATTCCTAGAAATGTCATAGACACTCAGAGTTCTGATAACATTTCATCTGCTACCTTAAGAAGCAGAGTCCATCTGATTTATCTTTGCATACATCCAACAAACATGTCCCATATGCCTACATGTGGCTGTATGAAAACTATTAAGTGTATAATGAATGGTTACTAGTTACTCAGTGATTATGTCTCAATAACTCTTCCTTGCCCTCATCGGCCATCTCTCCAGTGTCCATCTCAACCTCAACATACACAACTTTGCTGGCGAGTCCTTTTAGTGAATCATGGGTGATGTATCACACCAGGCTCTCCCTACATGAGTTTCTTTGCATCAGATGCCAAGGTTCGCTCCCATAAACCATGAAAGCTCACTGCCTTGAGAGAGCCACTCTCTGGAGGGAGCCTTGGGACTTGCTTATAGGGCCAGGTGCAGGGGCTGTTTTCAAAGCATTACAGGTTGCTGGTGTCATATCCGTGTTGGGAGGGGAAGTGTTTTCTAATAAAATGTTTTTGTCTTGTCTTCTAGCTTACATTTTACTATGGTACTATAGATGCTTGGTGTCCAAAAGAGTACTATGAAGACATGAAGAAAGATTTTCCAGAAGGAGATATTCGACTCTGTGAGAAAAAAATACCTCATGATTTTATCCTCTATTTTTACCAGGAAATGGCAGACATGGTAGCTGACTGGCTAAAGGATGATCTGTCCAAAATATAAATACTGACACAAGGAGCAAGCACTGACAGCTAGTACATAAAGGCAGTAGGTGTACTTAGTAGTAAGTAGTATACTTAGTAGGTAAATGTTTAATTTTAATGTTGGATATTAGAAGAGAAAAAAAGTGAGACCCTCTTGGCTTAAAAACTATCAGCTCCAAGCTCCCCATGCTACAGACTGAAATAAACACAGTTGATCAATATTCCATAGGATTAACAACACATTTTCCAAGACTCAGGGAACACAGTGATCTAAACAAAGTCTCTTATGTTTGCACGAGATGCCCAGTGGCACCATACGGTTTATTTTGGTAGGCAAGATCCTTGCAGACAAAAGGAAATCTAAACTTAGTTGATTTTAATTGAGTTACAATGTAGAGTAGGCTCCCCTAGAGAAAATTATGAAAGACCTACTAGAAAATGTAAGAGACCGCTGAATGTTAAGTGTGTAGTCGGATATGTGCAGCATGTGAGATCATAAGAAGGATACACTCAAGTCCAGTAGCAGGAAGTGATGAGCAGTGGATCTTGGCAGTGGACCTGGGTCTCTCTTAAGGACAGAAGCTGAAGATCAGCCCAGACTAACTTTGCACAGGTCTTGGCTGAGATCATCAGAATCAGACTGGATATCAGGACAGCCTGCACAGCCCACCTGTTACTACCGTGCAGCATGTCTCAAACTACCAGGTAGTCAGCCTTCTGTCTGGCCGCCAGTGGCACAAGCCCCAGCAGAGCCAACGGCAGGGGAAGCACGGCTTGTCTCCTTTCCTGAGGAGTGTGACTTCCCGATCTGCCTGCAGTAGTCAGCAAATAAAGCTCGTCAGGCATTCCTCTGGTCAACTAACAACTAATAAGAGTTATTGAAGGATCCCAATTCTGCCTTCCTCCACAGACAGCTAGCAGGCTCTGGCTGTGAGCTTCCTGCGGGCTCCTCTTCTCCAGAGCCAAGGTGGGGAGGCCCTAGGCTGTCCCAGATCAGCCTTGTACCTGCCACATGCAACTGCCCCTTCTGTGATATTTTTCAGTCAAACTCCACTGAGGACCAGCAATGAACCAAGTACTATAAAGGCATTGTGGATAGATTGTTAGCTACATTATGATTCTTTTCTTCTGAAAATCTTCTAGTAAGTAATTTTTGAAAGGGCATCTTTAAATTGCTGAATAGAGAATTACCATAAATGATTTCTCCATTAGTTTTGTTAGTTGGAAATAAATTGCTTTACTAATGAACCAAAACAACCCATTAAGTTATGTGAATTCACCCTCTCCAGGCACCTTGAGGTCCAGTAAAGAAGAAACTTGTTCTCTGGCCTAGAGCAGGCTAACAATATTGCTTCCTTCCCTAAATTGACTCAATCCTGGGACCTTAGGAGCCAGTAAGTCCCGCTGACTGCAGAGATGGTTGATGATAGATAGAAACATTCCATTTTCTTCTAGAGGAAATCCCTCTCAGTGTCCCATTCCTTAAGGACAATGGGATGTTGTCCTTCTTTTCAAAACCTAAAGCCCCCTGATGAAAGATTCACCTCTGATATGCGCCAGCCCAGTGGTGAGCGTTGTATGAGCTATGACCCTTTGGCGTGGCTGCCATGTCAGAGCAAATGACTTCTCAGAGGGGAGGAGCCACGCTCCAGGCAAGCAGTGCTCTTGGCCCCGGAAAGGAGCCGGTAGATGCCTAAGCCGCTGGCGCAAGGCTGCATACAGAGTCCTTATTGGCAACTGTGTAGGGAGGCCTTCTAGAAATCTGATGTTAGGAGCTCGGTCTCATGGCTTGAAGTGCCTTGCATACAGGAGATGCTCAGTAGTACTAAGCAAGTACTGGGTACGTCATGCTACTGGAATGAAGAGTAACACACCCAGCTTTTCTTTTAGCGTGACTTTACAACATCGCTTCCTATTTCAGGAGTCCACATGTATGAAATTATGTCTGATAAACCAAAGGTTACCAGAGCTTAAAAAATGATAAGAAGTAAAATGATAAAGTAAATTTCCTGTTTATCATCTAAGCACCAAATGAATTTTCAAAATAAGTGTTTTACCCCCACTTTCTGACCTTGCCTGGCCTGATCTCTGTGTTGGAGGAGGAGGGGTACAATCCTAGCATCCTCCTGAGTTAGACTCGGGTCAGAGTCTCTCTGTTAAATTGAAAAGCCACTTTCTCAGTGCTTCTTGTAGAGAAGGAAGAATCAGATTTCAGGAGATTGAAGTTCATTTTATTTCATTAGGAATTAAGCAAAAATGTTTCCGTACATATGTATGAGGTGATAGGATATGTGAACTCTGGAGGCCTTACTGTCTGTGTGATTTTAGACAACTTCATCTAATTTCTCCATGCCTCAATGTCCTCATTTATAAGATAGGATTAATAATAATATGTACCTCATATTGTTGAAGAATTCAATGGGATGATTAAATAAAAGCATTTAGCACAATGCCTGACCAAGAGTATCTTCTCAATAAAGACTGGCTATATTAATAATAATTATTATTAAACATCATCATAATAAAAAATAAAAGACTAAAGTTGGTAAGCAGTGGATGAAATCCATTTTCCAGAAGAATTTCTGCCTGTATATCCCAGTCAGCCACTTGAATGGCCCTTGTCAAAGATTTAATAACTTAATCTGGGGTTATTTAGGGCCGAGTGAAAGGCCTAAACTGGAAATCATGACCAGTTGTTCTCAGTCTGCTCTGGACCATAGGGGAGAATCTCCAGAGGCAGCCCCTGTGGCTTTTCGTGTCCAGGTGTCCAAGGCAGCAGCCCTCTCACCATTGGCCTCTCCACTCAACCCTTGGAGAGCCAAGAGTGATCTCCAAAGGCTTGATTTTTCGTCATCCTACATTATATCAAAATTAAATTTAATTCCAGACGTGAGGAGACACAACAACTTAATATAATACCTGATTCTGGATTAGATGTTTTTGTTATTAAAAAAAACTGTTGGGACAGTTTGCAAAACTTCATTGAATGGGATCTGAAGATTAGCTGGGAATAAGAGACCAATGTTAATTTTCTGATTTCACTGGTTGTATTGTGGACAAGTAGGAAAATGTCCTTATTTGTACTGAAGACACACAAGTGTCAGGGAACCATGGGGCATTATGTCAGTTTACTCTCAAATGGTTCAGAGAGAAAAAAAGTTCTTTGTTCTTGCAACATTTTTGTAAGTTTGAGATGATTTTGAAATGTATACGAATAATTATTTTTTAAAAAAACACACTCTCCTTCTGCATCTGTCTCTTATTGCTTCTTTCCCAGAAAGTGAATTACTTCTTCTAGGAAGTAAGTGAAGACTGGGGTTCAAATCCTGGATCTGTCATTTATCAGGTTTGTGATGTTCAGAGGCTTAACCTCCCCGAGCCCTCTCCTTCACTCCCCCACTGGCCCTCATCTCCAAAAGTACTTGTGTTAGCTTTTGGACTTTGGAAGGGTTTTTGTTTGGCTTTAATGGGGTCAAACGAGGTCTTGCATATAGTATTTAGCACCCTGCCTGGTAGATGCTCTATTAAATGGTACCTAAAGCAGAAGGATAGCAGACTTGTCTTCCACACTCCCTTCTCTTTGGTGCAATGGAGGACTCCTCGATATCCCAGCTTCTGCCGTGTTTCACCCAGCCTGAAATTTGATTCTAATCATCTCAGCGTTTCTGGTTCATATTGGTGAAGGAGGAGGCCACTCGCTCACCTGACAGCTTTCTGACCCCAGGCCATTGCAGGCCTCCCACACACAGTCCAGGACACCCAAACATCCCCTCGAGGAGCTTATTGTCCTTTGAAAAGATGTAGGAAGCAAAGTGTTTCTTAAATAACACGAGGCATCATCTTTGTTCCTGGCCCCCCTCTTTCCAGAGAGAAGAGATGTCCTTGGGCTTCTCCTTTCCTTGCTGGGTGGGGCTTAAGGAGCGGGCAGTGCCTGGGCCTGAGTGTGCTCTGAGCTAGTACATCTCTGAGGACTTAAGGCTGAAGCTCTCCTGTAGGAGTGCCGAGGACAGGAAAGATTTCCGTTCCCAAGGGGCTGAGATTCCTGCCTCTGTGCCCTGGAGGTGTAGGTGAGTGATCACAGTGGCCCACGTGGGGAGCCGATGGGGTACATGGGTCTGTCCTCTCCAGCAGGCTGAAGGCATCTCCAGAGCAAAACTGTGAGGGCCAGAGAAGGCTCCGAGTTGCCAGTTCTGTAAACAGAAAACTGCTGGAGGAAGGGTGTGGCAGGGCTGCTTCCGGTGCCTGGAGGACAGGTGGAACCTGGGTGGGTTTGGAAGAGAAGAGAACAAGTCCAGAGAAAGAACGTGCTGCTCACCCTGTACTTTCACAGCGTCTCATTCAGGCCTCACAGTCGTGTGTTACCAGGACAGTGCCAAGCAGTTGACGTGCTCAAGACCTCACAGCTACTGAGTGACAGCTGGGCTCTGCCCCAGCGCCACGGCTTCACCCCTTCCCACGCACCGTGCTGCCTCCTGAAGGGGACAGAGTGCAGGCGGCCAGAGGAGTGGAGGCTTGGGGAAGGGGTCACGCGAGGGCCGGCGAAGGCCAGGTTGTCAGGGGAAGGGAAGAGGAGAGGGTTGGGAACAACTGAGTAGCGTCAGAAGAACAGAGGATACAACAGATGTGGCTTTGGGGTGTGGGGTGCGTATCAGGCAGTGGCCTGTGCGGGTCAGAGCGGGGGCTGAATCCCACATTCTGGTCTCGGCAGCTTTGCTACGGCCACCGGGTGCTCCAGACACACTTACTTCCCTCTGCTCCTCCAAACTTGTGCTGTGCCCTGAACCTTTGGGATCAACCGCTCCAGCTTTGAGAGTGCCCGTGCCTCGACCCCTCCCCAAAATACAACCACTTCTGCCCCACAGAGTGGCCTCTCTCTCTCTCTCCCCCGCCCCGTCTCTCTCTGTGTGTCTCTTTCTGTCTCTCTCTCTGTCCTCTCTGTCTCTCTGTTTCTGTCTCTGTCTCTCTGTCCTCTCTGTCTCTCTCTCCCCTCTCTCTCTGTCCTCTCTGTCTCTCTGGTCTCACTCTGTCTCTCCATCTCGGTCTCTCTCTGTCTCTCTGTCTCTGTCCTCTCTCTGTCTGTCTCTGTCCTCTCTCTCTGTCTCTGTCCTCTCTGTCTCTCTATCCTCTCTCT